GAGCAGGGAAGCTATTCACCTAAAAATGAACTTAAAGGCTATTGGCAACTTCATGGGGATTTTAATTTTTTCTTTTGAATTTGAGGGTAGAGAAGATGGAAGGGATGAGAGCAGAAATGAGGTGCTCTCCATTTCTCCTGCTACTGTGCTAAAACTGAGGTTAACATTGTGTTGCCAGACATTCAGCACCTGCACAGTCCAATGTTTTATTAAAATTATCTGAAGAGGTCTCACCTGAAGAGTTAATTTGCTGAGTGACATCTATAGATGAGCTGATAGCTGCACTCTGCAATGACTCGGGGTACTGTCACCATCCCTGTCCCTGGCATTTCCACCAAGGAACCATCACTACCCTTCCACTCAACTTTTTGCTGTAACTCTCCTTTGGCTGTTTTTGATGGAAACAAACCCAGCAATAAACCTCATCTGTCCCTCAGCTGCAGCACAGCCTCTGCTGCAGCTGACAGCAGCTTGAGCACTCTGACCTGAACGGGGCTAAAGGAGACCAAGAAGGCTCCTTTGAGGCCCAGGGTCAAGGGACAGGTTCAGCTGCCTGGCTTGAGCCCGGGTGCATTGCTGCAGGTCTGGTGCTCCCAGCCAAGGAGAACGTGCAGAGAGCTCAATTTCCTAAGGTTGAAAATACACTCTGGGCAACGGGAGGATCTACTGGTTTAGATCTACCTTTTCCTACATAAGTGTGTATATTATATATATATATACACTTATATACAAGAACTGTGTTAAAGCAATTTATGCCAGCATGGTTAAGCTTTAAAAATGAACAAAACACAACTACCAAAGCAAAATCAGGAACCTAGCATTTCAGCTCCTTCAAAGCATTAGCAAAGCCTGAATAAGGCAGTTGAGTTAAGACATGAGCTTGCTTTCTCCCATACAGACCATCAGGAAGCTAAGCCATCCCTCACACAAGCCAACTCACCTTTTGGGCAGCTCACTGTGTGGTCAGGATCTCCTGCTGGCCTGCAAGGTACTGCAGAGCCATGCACTTGTGCTTGGCTACCTGGCTCTGTTAAAAAAACAACTTAGCACAAAGCATGTTCTTAGCATGCTTACAGGCTAGCTGGTTTTATCCTGATTTTCTACTGGGAAAAAAATAGCAGGTTCTCTGCCAGGGTGCAAGGAACCAGTCTAAGATAAGGATGACCTGACTGCAGGTTTAAGGGAAAATGATTTCTCAGGTTGCCAACCCATTTGGATTCTCTAGATAAGGCAGTTTGTCCCAGAAACACCTTCCTGGGGGTGGGGGGCAGCACTAGCTGGTGGTCCAAAGGGCAGGGCCTCCTCTATTGATCCAGTTTGAAATCATTAACTCAGCACATGTGAAGAGGCACTCAGGTACCCAGCCCCTGCCACCTCTGTGCCACACTCTTACATCTTGCAGTCTGTGGGCAGGCTCAGGCACCAGTCCTGAGGCACCCTGTTCCCTGTCTGTACCATAAACTGCTCACATGCAGCCTACAGGAGGAGCAAGCCAAGCCCGCCCCTTGTCTGGGCACTGCCAGCTCCTGCCACACTGCAGCCCCCAAGGCTATGTCCTGTGGCAGCACTGCACCCTGCTCTTTGCTGATTGAGTAACAACTGCACAGCTCACAAACCCACATTTCCACCTGCATTACCTCTGAAACTCAAATTTAAATTCCGCAGCTTCCATCAAGCACTTCTTCTCTGGTGGCAAAGAATATTGCCCTTCATGCCCATTGGGCCCATCCTTCCAAATCACAAAGAGGTTCAGCATTGCATTTGAACCTCATCCATGTGCATGCAGCCCCCACCTTGTGCCCTGTCCTTACTAAAGTGGGCAGGGAAATAAAACCAATACCTTGAAAAGGAAAAAGAACATATTTCTGAAGCCACTATCCCTGTCTGCAGTCAAGTCTGGCATCTCTGTACTGACTCCCCCAGGCCCACCTGCCTGCCTTGAGGTCTTCAGGAGCTCTGTCAATGACACTGGCACTGCTCCTGCCTCTAATGAAAAATGGCTTCCACAGCCATTAATAAGTGGAAGTTGGAAGCTGAAGGTTCCTTAATAAAGTTTATTTAATCATAACTATGCTTAGGAAAATACACTTGTAAAGGTTAATATAATGCAATTTAGTTTAACTTTATACTACATTTTGAACAAAAGACTTCTTATACATGATTTAGGTAAAAACAGGAAGTATGATCTGGCTCGTTTTACATCTATTACAAACGCAGAAAAGACTGTCATGCACTACAGTACAGAGCATGAAAAAAATTACCTTTGGTTTAATTCAGAGAATACAAGTATTGCACTGTAAAAGCATCAAACATGGTGCAACTAAACATCATAAACATGTTTCCATGCCAGCTTACAAAAGTTTGTTAGCTAGTGTAATTTTAGAGGGAGGAAAAATATATGTACACATAAAACAATTTCTTTAGCTATTTGGATTCTGTTAATATCATATGCATGTCACATATCTACACAACTGACATTCAAGAAAACTCTTGAATTTAATACCTTTCAGCTACATTAAATCAGTTGAAATCAATGACATTACTGTATCTTAACTGGCCTGTCAGCTGTTAAACATTCTTCTTTAAATGACTGAAGTTCCAGCCTAGATCATCAAAATCCAGAAACAACAATTGCAAACCATGAATTTTAGGTGCCTAGCCAGCCATTTCTTGACCATTTTTCAGGGCAGTTGGTTTGACTGTATATATTCATACAGAAAAAGCCCAAAACACATGACTCGACCAAGGGCTGGCAGTGTAGGGGTATTATCGGCATGCTAATCCTTCCAACCATGTATTGGAGGTTGAACACAAATACAGATATTATTGCCAAAAAACACAAACATGCTAGCATTGGCAAAACCAACACAAAATAATTTAACAATATTGAAAAAGACCAAAAGGAAAAAAAAAAGGGTATTTTTTTATAGGGAGACACAGCAATGTAAGACCACCATACATGGTGGGCTACGTGACCCACTCTCCCCCTCAAATACTCATATTAGCAGTGCCTAACATCTGGGATAAACATAATGCATTATATCCTTGCCTTTTTACTGTAACATAATCCCAAACCTTGCAAAGAATTCCAACACAGTTCTGCACCAAGATTAGCTAGTTCAGGATGTTGTTGATGGGTCTCAGATAGAAAAAATCAGCTTTTCTTCTTCTTAATGTTAATAATTTATTTTCAGTTTCTCGTCTTGTGGTAGGAAACTCTGCCAAAGAAGAGCCGACTGTTGTCTTTGAAGAGTTCTTGTCAGATCAAGCATTGAAACCTTGACCACTTCACAGAAATGTGCAGCACAAATGTGCAGTATTTCAGAGAACCATCTTTGCTTTTGTCTCATAGAGAGGACATTAAAGTCAGTTAACAGCATCGTTTTCATTAAAAAAACAACAGGAAAAAATTATCAGGCCAGTCCATGAGTTAACTTGAACATAGCTAAAGTCCTTGAAGTCCCTCACAAAATGGCAAAGGCTCTTTGCAAGGATAGGAAGGGAGCTTTAAACCTCTACACAGTACTAGAATTCCCAGCATCTGCTCATATCACTCACAAATGGTGGCAACATTTATATATAATGAAACACTATTATGAAAAAAAAATACATCTAAAACTATTACAACTGGTAGTTTAGGAAAACAATTCAACTAGGTTTGTTTTCTTAATGTTTAACATAAATATAGTTGCAACTTGATCTTGAGTTGACAATGATTGTCACAGCCAAGGTAAGGATTGAACACTATCTATGCAAACAAAATCTCACTATACATTATACAACTTATTTCTGCCATGAGGGATGCCTTCCCTCTCAAATCTTTGGCCTCCTATTACCAATCTCTCCCAAAAGCAGAAGCAATGTAGCATTGTTGCTCTCAATTAATTCACGGCAGTGGGTTTGTTTGGAGGGGAAGATGCTGTGGGGACAACACAGTGAAGAATGGGGTTTATTCCAGAGCTTACACAGAGTTACTTGCAATAAAGTGCTCTGACAAATGCTGTCTGAGCTGTTCAACTCCACTCCCCAAGTAACACCTGCCTCCAAATTTGCTTCTTTGGAGCTGTCCCCAGCTGCTCCCACCGGAAAGGCAGCTAATGACAGTCAGAAGAGTGCACAGATGGGACCTGGAGGGTTTTGCTTCTTTCCTGCTGGTTTGGATTTTGTTTACATTTTGCCACTGGTTGGCTACAAGCAGTTAGGTATGCAATCTCTCTTGCATTTGTGTGTGCTAGAAATGAAATCTGTTTGGAATTAAAAACTCCTGGTACAACATGTCGACCTGAGATGACAATCTGATAACTTGCATGTTTCACTCTGCATGGAAGCAGGATTGTTTTATTAAATGCAACTTGAATTAATATGGAGCAGAAATTCCTACAGGATTTTTAATTCCAGGTTTATTGCTTACCAGTTGATTCATCTTTATTTGCTCGTTGGGGTCTTTTGTGTATGAGATGTTAAAATTATATCAGTACTACTATTTTATTTTTTTAAAGCTCATTACATTTGACTGCTGTCCACCACAAAAATGAAAATGGAAGTGGAAGAAAAAAATTTCCAGACTTGCAGAGTCTGCAGACTGTTTCCACTGAGAGTGATTCTTTTCCTGTCTGGTGATCCCAAATTATATATCAGAATTTATTATTCTGCATGTGTATTTGAAGTATTAGAAGGGGCATTTCCATGACAGAATAAATCCTGTAAAAGTGTTTTGGAACTGCATTGGTATAGTTTTGCTCAAGGACTCTACAATTCTAAATACAGTCAAAAATACACAGCCAAGCAGTTCATAATTTCAGCAACTTCATGCAGTTAATCACACCCCAGGAAAACAAGAAAAATCTGCAGTAAAGAGCATCACAGAAAACTATCCCATGGTAAGCAACAAGTCTGAATGTTTCCAAATAAAAAAAACTTACACATACAAAACCAAACATGCATATATAAAGTGTACATATACTGCACAAGCACTATTCCTAGAAGATTAAACTGCATAGGTAAAAATCAAAAACAAGTGCAACATTTTAAGCCCTTAAAGCACAATCAAAAAACAAAAAGCAGAAATAAAAAATAACAAACTTGCTCCCCCACAACAAAGCCAATTACAAATCAGTGATTAAGATATTAATCAAGACAGAGGTTCTCCAATCAAAAGTTGGAAGGACTGCTCTCAAATTTTGGCTCATCATTCCACTTAGGGGATCTGAAATGTATGTTCATAATTGTAATTAGCTTAAACAGTTATGTTCATCACTAGCCAACTTTGATTTCTTTTGCAAAGTGCTCTTTATGTAATAGAAGCTATCTTCCTGGTAGAAAAACCATCAAGTAGTTTAACACTTTGAACATCAAGATACATTTAAAAGAAGTAAAATAAAAAAAAGGGAAAGGGAAAAAGGGAGAGAAAGAGAGTTGGCTGCTAGAACAAAAAGCAACTTATGCCAGTGGCTCTATAAACATCCAACTTGTATATTGTTAACTCCAGTCTTGTTCCTAAAACTCAGTTTATAAAAGAGCTGCATAAGCTAATAGACTAGAAGCTTACAGTGACTTTATAGGACATAACCTCATACACCCTAATTAAGAGATCCAATAGTTATTAAGTTCACCATGACACATAAAGTTGTCAAAAATATTTTCAACTTAAAAAAAAAAAAAAAACTAAACCAAAAAAGAAACCAATGCAGACACTAAAGCAAACCGTGCTTTAAAAAATCTACAGTATTTTTACATAAGCTGTGTAAGATCTTACAAAAGAAGATTCCCCAAACCACAACTATTTCTACTCCTGCCCTTTTGCTGCCTTCTCAAGATAATACACATTAACTAAGTGCCTGTTGAGGTGCTTGCTGTATTCACCCTCCTTTTTAAATGAGCGGTCACAAAAAATGCACACATAGTTCTCCCTGGCCACCGTGGTGTCTGGAGCTCCTTGTGACATCTTTGGACTTGTTTCCTCTTGTACAGAGCGAGCACCATTCAACCCCGAGTCATCGCTTCCTTCTGATATGTCGTCACTGATGTCACTGCCTTCATGGCTGTGGATGCCCTCGTCCTCATCCATTTCCTGAGATTCATTCACAGCTGTGTTATCCCGAGGTAAGGACAGAGCCACTTTCGGGCTTTGTGTACACCCTTCTGCAGGCACAGGTGCTGGCACAGCATCTCCTGTTGACTCTGTTGCTGGCAGGCATGTCTTGGTCAGGTCCATCAGGCTTGAGTTAGTCTCAGTTTCTGCCACAGTTTTCTCTGGCTCCTTCTCAGGTGCCAGATCTGGTGCCACATCCATGAGTACATCCAAGCTTTTTCCAGAAGATGCTGTATGGGAAGATTCCTCAGAGCAAGTGTCTTCCCCTTTGTCCACCCATCTCTCCTCCTCTTTTGCACCACCAGTGTCTTCACTCTCTCCTACTGCTGCAGGCATTTCTTGGTCCTTTACCTCACATTCTGTGTTTGCATCCTGAGCTGGCAGACAAAGCTGCCCTGGACCTTGGATGCAGTTTCCTTTGGGATCAGTGCTCTCCTCCCTGAGAGTATGATCACCATTGCTGTTTAATGCCACTGTGTCAGTGGAATCTCGCTCCTTCTCGTCACTGCCCTCAGTGTCCAGCTTCACACCTCCATCTTTTTCTGTGACAGGATACTCATCTGGCATCTCCTCTTCCTCAGTCTTTTCCTGATCAAGTTTACTGCTTTTTTTACTGTGCTTAATTTTCAGAGCTTTCTTTTTTCTGTTTTTCTTGACGCAACAATTTTGCTTTTTAGGCTCTTCCTCTGGTGCAACATCACTTTTTTGAGCTTCCTGGAAGTCTCTGGGTTTAGCTTCCACTTTCTTTTTCTTTTTTGTTACTACTGAGGTATCATTTGCAGGTTCTTGCTTTGAGGAAGTTGCTTCAGTCTCTGCCTTTCTTTTGACCTTCTTTGTTTTACATGTTTTCTCAGTACTTTTCTCAGTTTTAATATCCACCTCCTTGTTTTCTGAAGCTGATTTCCGACTTCTGGTTGTCACCTGGCCTGCAGAAACATTGCTTACTGACTTCTTTTCCTTTGCCGAATTATCTTTTTTCTCCACCTTCACAATTTTCTCTGTTTTCTTTGCAGCTGAGTCCCCTTTTGTTGGTTCCTTCTCCACTTTGTCATTGCCGCTCTCAGAAAAGTCAGCTTCGCTCTTTTTAGTCCGTAGCTTCACCTTCGAGACATCCATTGTGATGTCAGAACAATCAGGATGCCTGGACTTGATGTGATACTGCAGGTTACATTTTTTAGACGCTGCATAATCACAAACAGGGCAGAGAAACTGGCGCGGGTTGATGTGGAGCTCAACGTGCTTTTTGAAGTTACTGCGGTCAGCGGTTTTGTAGTTACAGTGCGGGCAGATCAGAGGCTTCGGCCCGTTGTGCACTTGTCTCGCATGACGAGTCACTTCGTGCTGGTTTGAGGCCACGTAGCTGCACTGGTCACATTTGAATGGCTTCTCACCTAAGAAAGGAAGGATGGAAGGGAACGACGGTGATTATTAAGCATGGTGGTTGTGGGGCAGTCACTTCCCACTAATACAGATATAGAAATATGAAACTTGAAAAGAATAAAAAAAATTATCCATGCGCCTTTAAAATTAAGCAAAGTCAACATAAGAAATCCACAAGTCACAAACACATTCACAAGACACTAAGAACAAAATACAAAAAAAAAGAGAGAAGGAGTGAGGGCTGGGAGGAAGGGGATCCAAAACCAAACAAGCAGTAACAACATCACAGGTTCTGGCTAGGCATACATACCGGCAGAGATCTCTCTACAGTAATATTAGCAAATGGAATCCATACCCAACTGGTCCATTGAATGCATTGTAGAAAAATGGAAATGTAACATTTGATGAATAGCAGTTTCACACAAACGTTTCAAAAAAGTCCAACTTTATACAGATTTAGCATACTTCATGTTTGCATTGAAAGGGAAATAAGGAAAAAGAAGCTAGAAAAAGCCTAAGAACATGAAAGGGGTGCCCAGATGATCTTTACCTCTGAAAAAGTTATGCTCACTGTTTTGGTGCCTCAAACACAGTGCTCTGGCTACAGGCTACTCTTGGCAAGCCAACCAAATGCAGTCCACAGCCATTGTGTTACTATTAAAATCTGCATTTATACTAGTGTAGTGATTTCTTTAGAAGTGTTCCTGAAATGTTCTGCTTAGTGCATGCCACTGCAGCAGAAGTAGCTTTCCCTTACACATCAAAGCAAATAGGAAAAACACTTCTAGTGCAACAACTCAAGTCCAGAAATACTTTGGAGTATCTGTGCATGTGCCAATTTAGCTGAGGAATTTGGGATGCTCCTGAGCTCTGAACCAGCATCTCAAAACTGAACTGCAGAATTAATGCATGCTACTTCTTCAGTATCTTGAAAATCCCCTCCAGTCCTTCTGCTCATGATACAATAATGCTTCTCCCACCCCTGCAAGCCACTGCCCATACTCAAGCATGCTCTGTGGCATGACTCAGGAGACCAGCCAGCCTGCACGGAAGATGTGGTGCCTGTTCGTGTGTTAACCACAAGATCTGCAATACCCTCACAAATTCTAGAAAAGGCTGTGCTGCTTCCTTGGCAGGAAGCAGGGGAACAATTGTTTAAGAGTCTAGGTCATCTCATGTCTGTCTGCAGCCATGCAATAAATACTCTATTTATTATTTAAAGAAGAGCTACCTTGATTCCCTCCCTCTCCATTTTACTTCCTTCTTTTTTCCTCCCAATTCCTGGTGACATTTTCTGCAAGTTTAAGTTTGATGTGTTTATTGCTCATCCTTCCTCCAAGTATAGAGTCTTCATCATCTACACTTCAAATAGTTCTGTACTGCACTGTGGGAGGACAAGTGCCTCTCTTATATACACATGAACAAGCTGTTCTAAGTGCAAAGAGTGCTCAGAGGCAGCTGCAACCTGGTAACTCAAAGACTGCATGTGAAGTTTGTGTCCATGGTCTCTACTAAATCCTGGGGTTTTATTGTTCAAGTGAAAAGGATATGTACCAAGATGGCTAAAAAACAGCTGCGAGTTAGGCTCTAAACCACTGCCATTTGCTGTCTGACATAGGAAGAAAGCTACAGCACCCATGGGCCTTAAACAGCCAGCCTGTCAACTGCAGGAGTCCAGAAATTGCCATAGAAAAGGGTGCAGCTGCCTGCGCAATGCAACAAAACATACAATAGAATTTAGAAGAGCTATTAATACAAGACTCCTGATAGCAAAAGTCATGCCTTCCCTCAGAGACCTTTGAGGCAGGGGTCACAGGTAGATTCCACTCCTTACCTCCTTCGGAGTTGAGACTTCCTTGCACAGAACAAGGGCAGAGCAATATATTCGTGAAGTGGTTTCCAGGTTCAGTATTGACCAAACCATTTGTAAATGTGGTGGTTCATTTGCAAACCAGAGATGATTCAACCAAGTATTATACTCCATTCACAAAATTCTCACACCAAAATACTGACATGCCATTTTAAAGGTGGCTATTTTTAATGGACCCAAGCGCCCCTCCACTACAATTAAAATTGCCTATCTCCTGGCTTCAATTAAAAACCTCATCAATTGAAATCGAGACAATTACTGTTCAGGAGACTTCAACTCCTGTTGGCCAGCATTAGGAATTCACCTAGGGCTGGTCAATTCAGATTTTACGAAAAAACAAATCAAAAGCACAGGCTCAGGTCTATCTGAATTCCCTTATGAGAGTCATAAAGGACAACTATGCTTGTGTCTATGGTGTTACAACTCCCAAAAATGCTGTTAATTCATTCAAAAAGAGATTTGCAAGAGCACAAGAGCAAATGTTTGTAACACCACAGCTCACAACCAATAATGGAAAATAAAGAAAAATAAAGGCTAGTGAAAATTGCTAATTTGGCTTTTAGTGCCCAAAGACTGAGTCACTTGAGAGCATCCTCTGAGCTTCCTTTTTCTCCTGTGTCTCCTTGCCATAAGCAGATACTAATTTACATCACTGTGTCATACTGGACAAAAGCTAAGGGCTCCCTCAGAACCCTTGGATGAGATGCAATCCCAGGCATCACAGAGGAGATTCTCAGCTACTCAAAATGTTCCCAGCTTCACTGATTTGAAATCAGCTACGACAGCAGACAGTGTACAAGAATTTGTTCCTGTATCATCACAATGTTGTATTTATTTCTAGATTAGTAGGAGTACTAGACCAGCCCTGTGAATATCAGAATAGATCTTGAAAAGTAAAAAAATTAAGATATATTCCCATTATCAATTTTTTCATGACACTTAGCATTCCTCAGCAAGACAACTTTCCCCATTAAAAAAGGAGCTAAAGCTCAGGCCTTACTGGCTAACATGGCATCTCACACAGAATGGGCAGACTGCTTTAGGTGGCCCTTCTGGAGGCAGGATCTGGCCCAGATGATCTCCAGAGGTCCCCTCCAACTGCAGCCACGCTGTGATACTGTGACCCACCCCCCTTCCCTCAGTCACACTGCTGCCACTCCGTACCAACCTGAGTGGGTGCGCATGTGTCTGGTTAAATGGGTCTTCTGAGAGCTGGAATAAGGACACATCGCACATTGGTAGGGTCGCTCCCCTGCAAAAGCAAACAGAAAAGTAGTTACTGAAACACAGCAGATTCCCAAACTTGGTTACCAAGCCACACAGGGGAGGCTGTCACAGATCCTCACACTGTATTTGAGGGCATGTTATCTCTCAGCAAAGACACGGGGCATATGCCTGAGCCAGACCACTGCAACATGTCATGCCTTATGAATGAGGGTAGTAAAAGGGCAGGATATGACAGAAGCACATCCTAATGTCCACCTGGGGTCAACTGTAACCTCAGCCAAAGGATTATGAGGACAGACAACTTAAGCTACCAGACCTGACTTCCCTACAGCATTTTCTCCCAACACTTAGAAGATGCACAAAATATCCTGTAAGAAACGAGGTATGTTCTTGCTTTGCTTAACATCTTACCTGAAACCTCCATATTTAATTTGGATTAAGATGGGATACAACCATCCATTCTACATGGACTTCCATTTACCAGAACACAAGTGCAGATAGAGCAGGTCTTTGCTTCCAGAGTTTTACTGGCAGAGTGAAAATAGCTTGCAGCATGGAAAAGCATGATCAGTGAAGTTATGCTGCTAGCAAAAGCTTATATGTAGCATAAACATTCATTTCAAAGACTCAAAACCCCATGCCTGAAGAGTTATTGGTTCTGGAGAACTAATGGAAACTAACCTGTCATAAATTATATCTCCACTGAGGACAGTCAGCTTGTAATTGTAGCTAAAAATTGTATCAGTACAATGATACTTGAAAATCTTTTTCAAGTAAAGACAAGCTCCAAAGAAAGGCAGGCAGTTTTATAATGAACGTGCTAGGCAGGTCCGGATAAGCACCTGGGGTGTTTGCCCCAGACTCCTAGCACACTGTCTTCCCTACAAACACCTTTTAGTCTTGGGTAGACATCCACAAGAGAAGAGAGGAATGAAGCTGAAAAAGGAAAAATAAGTTACTCAGTCCTAATATTTATTAAAATCACTGTCAGAATTACACTACAGCATTTTGATAAATTTGCTACATATGAGGCATACATCCAAGGTGCTCTCCAAATCACAGAGACCTGGACATCCACAGAAACCCTGCACACAGGGTATGTGTTCACTTTCAGAGGCACAGCTCTATCTGCAGCAGCAAAGATCTGCATCTGCCAGTGTGTGATGTGAGGCCTGTGCCAAAACAGCAGTAGAAGCAGCTTTTGTAATGCAGATTAATTCCACATTTCTTCCTTCCATCAAACATTTAGACTATCGTTCTTGATTAGATCAGCAGTTTAAAGGTAAATTCACCCTAACAACCACAATTCTCCTCCCTTTCCAATTAAAACAAGGTAGGAGATTGGTGCAATACACACAATAAGATTAAGTCATGTTCAAGGGAGGGGTACTTTTGGTACAAAGAAATGGTTTTGGTTTAAATTACTCCATACAATTAAAAAATATGTGGCCAAAGGTCCTGGAATATTCAGTCATATCTTCTTCCCATTACCTGAAATTTCCTATCTGTAAAGTTACCTACAACATTAGGAATGTGAAATAGGTTTTCTTTCATGGCTTTTTTTACATAGGGCATAGCCACAAAATATATTAGATTTAAGTATAATGACCACAGCTAATTCAAAATGTGTTATTGCCACTTGAGAATTAAATGCATTGTACAGGCTGTTCTGTAAAATACTATTATCCAAAGGATTTGTATTGTAATTTTCCAAGCTGGTTCATTATATGTAAACAAGCCATCAAGAAGACCTCTCCAGAAGACACATAATAAGCCCCAATCTAGCCAAAGCTCAAGCAGGCACTTAACGCTGTGCAAATGAACAGGCAGACTGGCATCGGCATACAAGTTTAAGACCATCTTGTTAAATAAATTTCCCCATCTGACCATTGAGAGGGGACTCTCAAGAGTCACACTCCTAAGCCCACACTGCTGGGACTGAAGCCCTTTCACAGTGGGTGGCTCCAGTGACCCAACAGGCACCCCCTGTGACTTCCTGCACACCCACTCACACACAGTCAGACCAGGTTTCCTTACTGGCTCGATCCCAGGTTCCCCATAGCAGAGTCTCAGATGTCTCATTCCATAAAGCCATTTACTCATGGCACAGTAACACAGAAACACCTGGAGCCATTGCTTCCAAAAAGGATCCAAGAGTGGAGCCCTTGCACTTTCATACCCTCACAGTCTACCTGCACACAAGTCTCACTCTTTCTCCCCAGTCTTCTGTTCCCATTGTTAAGCTTCCCCATGTACATCTACCTTGCTGGTCTCCCCAGTCTTCATCTGCTTTATTATCCAAAAGATTGGCAGTTCATGGCTCCTGCTGTGTCTCTCAGTGTCCATCCACCTGGCTGGCACCACCGGTACAGGGTTGGCAATTCATGGCCTCTCTGTGCCCTCACCCTGAGCAAAACCTGATCTGGATCTGCAGAATGCACACTGAGCTACCTGCACCAAAGGTATTCCTCAACAACCTCTTGATAAAGCCTTTTCTTATAATGCCATTAGAAGTCCCATCTGCTTGAAACAAATCTGCTTCCATCAAACTTCCAACACAGTGGCAAGCAAGAAAGTTCCCCTCTCACAACCAAAATCTAAAACAAACAAACAAACAAACAAACCAACCACACCAAACAACCACAAACCAAACCAAAACCAGTCCAAAAACACACGCAGAACATTGTCACTGACTGAAGCAGATGTGTTAGCTATCCAAGTCTTCAGATTCTTTTCAATGAAGTTTTCTAGAAATTTCTTCTAACAAGCAAAATAGAGAAAAAAGAAAGAGAATAATGCTTCACTGTCTTGCACGTAGTACAGCTCCAGAATCAGCAGGTAAATCAAGTCAAAACTTGGTCTAAAAGGTCTAATGAGCATGAATGAGCCCAGGAAGATCTGTCCCTGACACAGAGTCCTTTCTGCCCAAGCAGCAGAGGAACAGATTGTTCTGAACACCTCCAGCCAGCCACTCCCGGGCAGCAGATAGGCTCTCTCGGATGAAGCCTTCCCAGGTGACAGGCCTATGACCATCTGTAGGGTCCTTGAAACACCCATCTGCCCAAGGTCCCCAGCATTTGAAAGCAGCCTGTCCCACAAGCTCTGCCACAAGCTGCAATGTATCTTCAGCACAGGGCAGGTTCTGGAACATCTGTTTCTCAACATGAACGCAAGCAACAACAAGCAGGCAGATAGCCTGTGCCTGCCTTCCTGTGGTCCCCAAACATGCCAAGGATTGGTATTTTTCCCAATCATGCATGCAGCCCCCTTCTGCTCCTGGCCACATGCTCTGATATTTGCATGTGTCATTAGTAAGGCAACTAAGTTCACTAACCAGCAGAAAACCAAGCTGGGAAAGAGGAAACTAGTATTTTTACTCCTTTACTCCATTTTAGTGAGCTGAATCAACTAGTCCAAGGATACAAGTAGAAAACTGAGACTGCCTTTCTCCAGCAGCAGCAGCAGCAGCACATTTATCCTGTGAAACTCCACTCTGTACAGTCCGTGTTTCAGAAAACTGTATGGCTCTAACACAACAGAATCAAATCAACTGCAAAGAAGCATTTTCTCCCACAAAAAAAAAGTCTGATGAATAACAAAAAACAGGAGAGAAAGAATAGTATCTATCCAAAATTATTTAACCTATTAGCAATCAGGAAACCAAAGAAACAAACAATTCCAACTTTCTTTTTTAATATTCTGAACCCATAAAATAGGAAGAAAAATATGGATGTATCCCATTTATTTTTCCCAACAAATATTTTTTTTTGCTTTAAATGAGAACTACAATCCAAAGCTATTTTAGCATCATTCAGCCAGTTTTTACTAAATTCAATACTGGTATGTAAACAGACTGCAAATACTTTTGATTATAAAATATCTGTGGGTGTATTTTCAGGGTTTTTGGTGAGGGTTGTTTGGTGGGACTTTTAGTGCATTCTGGTTTTGTTTGTCTTCTTTAAGGCAATTTATTACACATTAGTATTGGCAGAGACTTTTAGCCTGGTGTATAAAATATACCTGCCAGGAGCTTATTCATTCTTCTAATACTTTAACACCCTCCTCCACAAAACAAATGCTACTGGAAACAAGGCATATTCCTACATCATTCTACTAACATATTTGGAAGTTTTTGGTCAAGCAAGAACTGCCTGAAAGAACTTAACTATGTAGTTATGAAGTAGCAAAGAAACACCTACAAGGGTAGACTAAAACATGCTGAAATCATAAGCATTCATTCCAGCTCAACTACAGTAATGAAACGAAGCAGAAACCCTGACAGCACAGCTGCACAACAAAGGAGAAAAAGGGGATCTGGATACACTTGATTTTTTTAAATTTTAACACGGTTCATCAGTAAATTGGTCAAATGCAGTGATAACAGAGCATTTCCTCAGCAAACATGCTTTCATGGTAGATCCTGTAAAACTCAACAGAGGAACAGCACTTTCAGAAATCAGAAAGGGGGACTTAATGTCACCTACATGAGCTCCCCACAAGATTAATTTAGATTTTCTACTACTATTTTCCCATTTTTACCTGGTCTCTCTCCTGTTATCTCCTACAAAACACGCACAAAAAAATAAACATGCCATAAACAACACCACTTTCCTAATACCTCTCAAAATAAACTTTGTTTACTTGTTTAGAAAAAAATATTTAGACAGGACTGAGTTTGAAATTGATGGTATCCACTGAACAACAGCACGCAGCTATTCTTAGGAAAGAATAAAGTACTAAAATTCCCAGCAGACCCTACCAGCCCCAACAAAGCAGACACTAAAGCAATCTGACAAACACAAACTCCTGCACACTTAGGCTCAAGCCCAGCCCTGAGGCCTCTGGGGTGCCCACCCCTTCCAGACAGCTGCAGACAACTGAACTGAAACCTCCAAACCATTCATGCCACTGCTGTGACAAAACATGACTTTGAAGGAGAAATTCCCCAGTGTTTTGCTCAGCCAGCAGAGTCTACAATAAAGGGGAACCAAGTTAGGTGAGCACGCTAGAAGATGGCTAGCAAGTGAGCCCTCTCCACAGAAAAGCCCTGACACAGTGGAAATAAAAGCTTCTAAGAAGCAGCAAGGAAGCTCTGAACTGCCCTCTCACTTCCACAAAAAGGGATCAGGAGGCCAAGTAACTGTACCTCATGGCCCGGAGGGGCGAGATGGCTCCGATAACCCCTCCTCTAATGGAGTTCTGGTTCGTCAGAACCCCCCCGTGTGAGAGGGTGGCGAGGCTCTCTGATGAAAAGCAAGGTATTTCCTAAGTCACCTGTGGTCCCAGATCACAGGGTGGCAGCAACACTGCAGTCCTCTGAATCCACTTGCTATGCACCAGGGAAAAAAGGGGCCTCACACTGTCTCATCCAATTACAAACCAAGGTTAGAAGAAGTCAGGAAATCAGGCCAGACCCCCTGGAAGGCTTCCTATAGGGCAACAGAAGTATGTGTCTACTTCTGGCTGCTGCAGTGATGCAGGGCCTAGAAAAAATGAAGCCTCTGAGCATTAAAAATAATTAATTCACTGTTCAACTCTTATTCTGACTTTGTGGATGCTGGAGGACTCCTCTGCATGTATATATCAGCTCTTTCTTCTCTGTAAGTACACCTTAGTCAAGTTTCAGCTCAGTCTAAAGGTGACATTTTCAAAACTACCTATGGGATTCAGGCACCTTTTGTCAACCTGTTTGTTTTGGTTTTAGACTACATCAGGTTTCGGTGTTGTGGACTCTGACAATCTTTGTCATTTTGTCATTTTTTATCATTTCCTCTTCAAAAAATTGGCTTAAAATTACTAAAGAGAATGCCCTTCATCTCTTGGGCACCTGACATTTCCTCAGTCCTCTAGGACTATAGACTGGAGCTCAAAGCAAATTCCACTAAGCTATAACCTTGTAGCACCAGAGAAGAGAGCACACGGCTTTATCAGATAGAACAAACTTTGCAAAAAGACTCTGCTTGCTTCATTTATCATCGATTCAGTAGTCTCATTGCACTTAGTCAAAAAAAGATTAAAACCTTACCTGTGTGAGTTCGAATATGTTGAATATAATTGTTCTTCCTGTCTGAAAAATAGGAGCACTCTGAACAGGTATACACTTTCCTGGGAAAATGATTTCTTAGGTGTTTTTTCCAGTGATATTCACTGACAGTAGTGTATGTGCATATGGTACACTTGTAGACTCTCTCATTTTCCCCTGCTTTGTTGTGATGCTTCAAGTGAGCAAGATAGTGATCATATCTGTTAGTGTTATAGCCACAGCGATCACAACGGATTGGGCCCTTAGAGAAATCCACCTCTTCTGCAGTGCAGGAATCAGACTCCTTCACCTGTGCTTGCTTTTCTGCATTTTCTTCTACAAAGAATTTCTTAGCACTATGAACCCTGATATGATGCACAAACTCCTCTTCCGACTCTGCCTCATACTGGCAAGGCTTACAACGAAATGGTTTGCTCTTCAAGTTCTTACACTTGTCCTCTGTGCTTTCTGGAGTACCCGGTGCTTCCAATGAGGCATCTTTGTCCGCACTGGGAGCCTTAGGAGGGGAACAAGCAGCTGGACCTTGACTTTCCACACTAGGAACCTCAAGGGAGCTTAACTCCACATTTTCAGGTGCCTCACGGTCACTCTCTGCAGCCTGGGTATCTTCCATACCCTCTCCATCACTATCTGAGAAGTTGCTGTCTCCCACCGTTGTCAGTTCTGCCATTTGTCTTTCTTCTCCAACCAGGTAATCACAGCAATTGCCATTAACTTCTCCTGTCAAGGCCACATTTGCCAACATAATAAGCTGAGGAGCTGCCAGCTCAGCTTTAGAAAGGTCCTGTAAGTCATACATGTCACTGGACAATGCCATGCCAATATTAGAACTGCCAGGAAAGAGGCTGTTCCCACCAGACTGTCCCAGCACTTGAGTTGCCATGGCAGTAATTCTGTCGGAAGAGAGAAGGAACACCTGTAAGCACCTGAGTGTGGAAAAGTCTCCTCTGCTGAGTACCGTCAAAGCAGCCCTCCAGGGAACATCAAAAAACTAAAGCTCTTCGCTGAGCTGCTGGGGCAGCAGGAAGCAGAACCTGGGGAAGTCTCATTCCTCGCCCGAAGGGGCGGTGGGGTACCTAGGCATGGCACAGGATCCCACCGTGTGGAGGACGGGTGGGAGGCGCTGACAGCGGGGTCCCAGGGCCAGGCGGGGCTCAGGACAGGTGAGTGATCCCGGGCCGGGCCCTGCGGCTCCCGCCCCGCCGGACAGCGGAGGGGCGCAGGGCCAGCCTGCGAGGGCTGCGGCCGGGCTCCGCCGTGCCCGTCCGGCCGCGCCCGCCCCGAGGGCCCCGCCGGGCCCACGGCCGCCAACAAAGGGGGGCGGCCCGGCCCCGCGGCGACCTCCCCGCGGCCCGGCGCACATCCGCCGGGGGAGCCGGGCCGGGCCGTGCCCCCGCCACCCTCCCTCCTTCCCTCCCTCCCTGCCTGACAGGCATGCGGCCATTTTCTGCCTGCCCACACAAAGCGCCCTCCCCGCGCCGCCCCCGGCCCGCCCGCTGCCGCCGGCCGGTGGGGACGCCCGGCTTCCTCCTCCCCCCGCGGCGGGCAGGGCAGGGCAGCGGCGCCGGTGCGGGGGCGCGGGGCGGAGGGAGCGCCTCGGTACCGGCAAGGTCACGGCGGCCGCGCCCACCCGATGCCCGTCCGCGGGAGGGGGAGCGAGCGGCGCCCCGGGCCTGCTCCCGGGCCCCGGGCCCGCGACTGCGCCCGGCCCGGCCCGGCCCGGCCGGCGACGGCTTCGCCTTCCGGCGGCGGCGCGGCCCGGCGAGCGCCCCCGCGGCCGGCGCGGCTCCTTAGCCGTGGTGCTGATCGCCCCGCGGCCCGCCCGCCCGGCCGCCCCCGCCCGCCCGCCGGCCGCAGATCAGCCCTGGACAGCGCCTCTCGCCCGGCTCCCGGCCCCCCCTCCCCGGGCCGCCGGGCCCCGCCGCACTCACTCACCCACCGGCGGCGCGGGGCCGCCCGGCCGCGCGGCTGCTGCGGGGCGGGGCGCGGCGGGCGGGAGGCGCTGCTGGCGGCGGCGGCGGGCGGAGGCGCCCCCGCATTCCAGCACACAGCGCGCAGCGGCGGCGCCGCCCCGCCCGCCCCCGGCAGGAGGGGCCGGGCCCAGCGGGGTCACCCGGCAGCGGCGGGGGCACCGGGCGGGCGGCGTGCGGGGGGAAGGGGCACCGCCCGAAGAGAGGGTTCGGGCCCAGGGGCAGAGCTGGCGGCCGCGGGGTTTGTCCGTGCCCGGCCCGCTGCCGTGAGTTCCTTTGTCCCGTTCAGGGATGATAACGCTGATCTGACCAGCTTCGAGGCGGTGCCCACGGCATCTCCTTCACGAGGCGAGCCCAGAGAAGGACAACGAAACTGGTGAAGGGTTTGGAGCACAAGTCTGATGAGGAGCAGCTGAGGGAACTGGGTGTTTAGCCTGGTGAAAAGAAGGCTCGGGATGACCTTACCACTCTACAGGCAACTGAAAGGAGGTTGTGCCAGATGGGGTCGATCTCTTCCCCCAGGCAACTAGTGAGGAGAGGAGAGGCTTAAGCTGAACTAGAGGAGGTTTAGTTAGATATTAGTCACGGAAAACGTGGTTGGACATTGGAATGGGCTGCCCCAGGAGGTGATCATCGTCTCTGGAGGTGTTTAAGTCTGGATGTGGCACTTCTTGCCATGGTCTAGCTAGCGTGGTGGTGTTCGGTCAAAGGTTGGATTCAATGGCCCCAGAGGTCTTTTCCAATCTAACTGATTCTGTGATTCACCCTGCTCCACCATTACATGGTCTAGGCCACTAAACTACTCAAATTGCTCTCAAAGCATAAAATGCCATATGCAACCACAGGACTCAAAACCTCCATAGATTGTCCTACTGTTCCAAAACCAGGGAAAACCCCCAAAAGTTGCTTTTGCAGAACCCAACCATGCACTCACTGGCTGTAACAGAGCTCAATAACAGCACCCAGTTCTGTTTAGGTGATAATCCCAATCCTAAATGAGGAGCCCAAATTTCTTAGTGGCTCTTTCTTCTCTTGGGCACTTGCATAGCTCTTCACCATAAATATCTAAAAAATTTCCTTGGATCTGAAATTCCTCAGGCTGAGCTGATTTCTAAATCTCAAAACTTTCAGCAGGAGCCAGTACCTCTTGGGCTGATATCACTGGGAGGCTGCAAAAACCCCTCTGTCTGTGTCATCTGGCCAACCTCAAAGCAAGCTGTGCTGAACCACCTGGTAGTGGGTGAAGAGGCAGGGCCAGTCACCCCAGCTGGCAAAGCAGAAACGTCTCTGAAGCTGGGTAAAGCAAATGTGATTTTTTTTCTAGGTAGGAAAACAACTGGAGAATGCAAACTACGTCGGGAAATGTTGAAGGAGTGTAAAGATACTTTGTTAGATATTGAAACTCAGAATCTAAAAAGTATCTGATCTGTTCCTGTGAGTAACAGCCTTCCTGGCCTGGGCAGCAGAGATCTGGTGTGTGTGCTCGCCAATCTTGCCACCTGGCCCTACCTTAGCTATTTCTGTTTCCCAAGTGCAAGCTCCTTTCTTAGCCTCCATATCTGCCTGTCTGTCATTTTCATCATCCAGAAGAGAAATTCTGTAATATACATATATTATACTATGAATTTATATATATATATATATATATTTAATATATTATGCTACAGATTTATTTGAGAGAGGTTGTCCTATAACCTTAACCCAAGGTCCCCTTGCCTAGGCACCACATCCTTGCAAACTCCATGTATCTTTCCTCCCTCTTCACTGCTCTCAGGACACACAGAGTTTGGAGCACGGTGCTTGGACCACAGCTGTGCTCTGGTATTAATGCAGAGGTACAGTTCTGAGCAGCTACCCTGGCAGAGGAACTTGAGCACATGGGAGGACAGACTCACATCAAAGCTTTGCCTTTATGAAATACATGGATGCTACTGGCTCAGACTACTTGGCTCCAAAACATCTAACCTAACTTCAGCTGGGTTCCAATTTCTGTAAGTAGTTTTGGCATTGCCATTGCCTACACCTCTTCCTGCAGAACTTACCTTATTTGCAGACAGTGCTTTCTTTGCTCAACACTCTCTTTATGCCAGGCAAACACAAAGGATGCATTCCCCAGTGAAAAGCTCCTCTGAGATCTGTGTCAAGTCTGACCCATTCCCAAACCTCCTTAATTCTAGGGCTGTTCCATCAGATTTATAGGTTAAAACCCAAGTTACACTACTCCTAAGGTATGCCAGCAATCAAGTGCAGTTAGTTCTCCAGTACTTTCCAAAAAAATCCCATATGTGCACCCCAAGAAATCTTAACAGCACACGGAAGTGGCTACACCAATTATTTTGTGGTCGGGATGCTTTCGAGCAGCTTGAATGTAGATAGTCCTGCAGTGAATATGTATCATGAAAGAAATGTTCCACATCAAAGCCTCTAATGTCTGCAAAAAATGCAATCATAAATAAAAACTTCTGCCAAAACAAGAAAGTTGACATGAACAGTCATATGGATTGTTTCCATCCTGCATCAGCTGGAGAGCAGGGAGCTGAAACTGTGTTTCTAATAGAAAACACACTTCAATATTAACATCCATCTGTTATAAAAATAAAGGCATTGCATTTAGAATTGTTAAAGGAGTTTAGATGATTTGAGGTTCCTACGGGAGCTTTGGTTCTTTCCTTTGTGTATAATTTCACAACTGGATTTGACATAAGCGCCCTTTTAGGTTCATTGCCTGGAAGCAGGTTTTTTGCACTGTCTGGTTTTCCTCTTTTTTTTTTTTTTTTTCCTAGTGACCAGATTGCTTGCTGAAAGCACCACTTTTAATGTTATCTTAATAGTATTTTAATGTTTATCATTTCACCAGAGATCTCTTTCACCTTTCAAAAACCAGTCTGACCAGATTTCTCAACTTTTGTACTCTGCAAGTATGCCAATGTTAATATTGTAAAATGTGTTTATGGTTCCAGTGTTCTAAAAAAAATCACTGGCAGGAGTAGATCCCATAAGCACTTGCTTTCACAATACAAACACTATTCAGAGCCTCACAACATATATACACTTTGCAGTATTGTGCTCTGAGAGAAATCTTTTTTGGTGCTAATGGAGAAAAAACATTGCTGTCTGGGTTAAAAAAGATCTCCATTTGGTTTGTTTTGCCTTGTTTGCTACTTAGGAAACATGTCATGTTTGAAGGTCAGAATGGGCCAAAATTTCAAGCTCTATGCAGCATCACTTATGTCTCAGAAATTCTTTCCTTAATCCTTTTGAACAAGCTCATTCTACAGCTTTCAGTAGACACAGGTCTCATGATGAGAGGAATCTAATAATTATCTTTTTTTAAAGAGTCAGTAAAATTCTCTGACTCATAGCCAGTGTGGCACCTCCTCCCTCCTTCCAGCATGAAAATTTCCACATCTGTGGTGAACAGGATCAGTAGAACAACACATTAAAACTATTTCTACAAAAAGCTCATTGTCAGTGACCAGCACTGGTTTGTCTCACCTTACAAGGCCAGTGCAAATGCCTTGTTCTCACTTCTGTCTAAGAGGGGTGTAATAGGGGTCAGTTTGAGGGAGTACAAACTTCCAGAAGGCTATCCACACTTAACTACTTGCTCTTTGCTCTTTCAGAAAAGCATACAGAATAGATCGCATTTGTTATGGCTTTGCTGCCTTCTTGGACAGCAGTTGATACTCTGAAGGGGCAAACTTTGGCAAAGGCATTATTTCATACACTACAAAATATCATGTGCAAAGAAGGCTAAGACTCTTCAAAAAGATGTTTACTGAAAGTTACCATTTTTTACTCACAGGGTATTTCTCTACAAGCAATCAGGCTTAATATTTGTATCTATTTAAACACAGCCTTTTAAAAACATCTTTAGGTTCTAACATAAGACTGTTTCCAACTGCTGTGTCTGGGATTTTACCAAGCAGTAAACCCAGTGTTCAGGCTACCAATGCCAGACCTAATCCACCACAGCCATCTGACTCAAATCACGAACCTGGCACAAAACACATCCTGTCAAGTCCTGTTTGTTTCAAGATGCTCTGAATGGTTAATTTTGTGCCATCAGACTGCACAGTTCCCATTTATGTGGTTGGTACCACATGATTTCAGTCCATGGAAGGGAGAGGCATTAGGTACTAAGTGCTGTGGAAAACGTGACCTCAAGTTTGCAGCTGAAAGCTGTGCAGCTGGGTGTCAGGGCTAGGCACACAGCACCTAATCCTCTGCAGCAATTCCTGGCTTCTAAAACTAAAGTTGCCCAAGTAACTCTTTGGAAGGGGAGGGTAATATTGTGCCTGGAATTACAGTGCCACAGCCTAAACAGACGTCCAGCTGCAACAACTCAGAAAACTGTTTTTAAAAGCCTTTCTCGTATGGGAGCATTGGTGTAACTGGATTTGGACATGCACATTTTTTTGTCTTGGGTGATGACAGGATAGGGAATGGTGTTCCTGGTGTTTTACAGCAGTTCCCTGGATGAGCAACTGCATCTTAAGCAACAGCTCTCTGCACTTTACCACTGGCTAATTAACAACAGGGATTATGTGGGGAGAAGATGTAATGTACAAATTGCTGGGTGAAAGGAAGAGCAAGGGAGGAGGAAGGCCCCCTTTAGAAAGAACACATGGCTGTGTGGTGGGGCTCAGCTGACCACAGTTCTGACCCTTCATTTCTCCTTACGTCCCAGCAAGTCAAACTCTGTGCTGCATGTCTGCTCTCATTAAGTCCTGCTGGGAAGAGTCTGTCTTATTCACCTCAGGTTCAGAAATCCCACCTAACTTTCCTAAACGCCTCTGAATTTAAGCCACAGTCCTCTTGCTCCTGCTTCTCACCAGGCTTCCTATGCCCACTGGCTTGGAAATGTCACTCAGCCAAACATATGTGGGATGTTCATCCCTTTCTTAATTGAGCCCTTTATTCCTCTGTTTCCACCTTCACAGAGTCTTTGTTCATCTTTCCCAGAACAGCAGCCGCTGCCTGTTCTCCTACCTGCTGCAAGCACCAGCTCGC